GCTCCAGTGGGAGAAGGTGCAATCCCACATGTAGCCTACAAGAATTTCCCTGGTTTGGTGTCAGCGTCCCAAGGTCTCGTTCGCTGCCTCTTCTGTCCCACATCTGCACTGCACAACACGTGGGTGACTCACAGTCTGTGCGTCCTTCCTCAGGTGCTGCCCACCACCAACCAGTCCGTGCAGACGTGCTGCCTGCTCTGCCACCGGGAGCGCAAGGACTGGGGAGGGCCATCCCACAATGGACTGGTTTCCCCGGGCGAGAGGCTGCCACCGGACTTCGTGCCAACGCTCGTGCAGAACCTCCTGGGAGAAATGCCACTGTGGATCTGCCAGAGCTGCCGGAAGAGTGTGGAGGAGGAAGAGCGACGGGCGGTGCAGGAGCAGGCCCTGGCGGTACGCGGTCACGGAGCTGGGGTTGGAGTGCCAGGGCTGCAGCTGTGGGAGTGTGGCACTGCCCTTGCTGTGGCACTAGCAGGGCGTGCGGATCCCCTTTTTGCTCTGAGCTGAGTGCCCCAGACATCCCAGCCTCCACTACCCTGCCCAGGGTTGCCACTGGCTCAGCAGGCAGAGGCTGTGGTGGGGCAGCGCGTGGTGCCGCAGAGGCTCGTCCAGCAGGCAGGCTTGGCTTGGAGCTGCCAGGCTGGAGAGGCTGACAGTGCCGCTGCTTTCCTGCCAGCCCCGCTCCACTGCATGTCATGCTGCGTCCCCTGGCCCCAGGGCTGCTCCCTGTGTGGTGTAGGTCTGCCCAGAGACTGCTGGGGCAAGTGCCTGCCTGTGTGTGGAGCTCGGGTAGAGGAGCTCCCTCCTGCCTGGCTTCATTTAATCCTGGCCTGGTGTGAGTGAGACCAGAGCAGGCATGTGTCCCTTGGAATGTCCTGGGAGCCAGGCTGTGTTGGTGTTTGATGGACAGGCTGTTTGTCACCCCCAAGAGAATGACAGAAGTGGTTCCCATGAGCTGAGCCCCTTCTGCAGTGGAGGGTCTTGGTGCTGACACTGCCCAGAGCCTCCTCACACAGCTGGTTCACTCTGTGTTTTCCTTGGCAGGTCTCGTTATCCCACACATCCTGCAAGTCACAGTCTTGTGGGGGTGGGTCACACTCCTCTTCTTCCTCCTCCTCCTCTTCTTCCTCCTCGTGCCATGGGAACTCAGGGGACTGGGACCCCAGCTCGTTCTTGTCTGCTCACAAGCTCTCGGGCCTCTGGAATTCGCAGCACACCAATGGGGCCACCCAGGGCAGCCCCCTTGGGGCCCCACCAGCTACACTAGGTGAGTTGAAGCCCACCGTGGGGTTGAGCAGAGCTTACTGCCCAGTTCTTGGCTTAGATGGTTTCCTTGTAGGAAAGGGTGGACGGGCTGGGCCTCTGACTCCCAGTGCCAGCAGCGTGCCTGGGCTCCTTTGCAATGGCAGAGGGATTTGGGCCCAGCTCCTCTTTCCTTCCAGGCGACAAGCACCCCGGCCTCGCTCTGTCTGCAGAGTGTGCCAGCCAGGCGCCGGCTGTGGCGCCGGGGCTCAAGGCCTGTCCCTACAGCCACGCGGCCTCCACCACCTCCAGCAGTGCCGCTC